TACCGTGAACGGTATGATACAGCCCAGCCCTACTGTGCACAAACTCTTTTCAGCATCATACTGTGATTCAGACTTTCACAACGACCTCAGTCCTCTACTGTTGTTTTAGTGTGCAGCTCTCCCAGTTCAGCACTTTGAGCCATGTCAGTACCATGGTCACAGTGGTGGTCTTTCTGTGTCTGGGACTTGGTCTGGCTATGCGTCTGCTTCTTTCCCCTTTAAAACAGCAGCTTCTGCAGCTACATGTATATTTGGAGCTACGAGACATCGTCTGAGTCATACTGTGTTTCTCACAGTCAGCTCCCAGCCTTAGCGCCATTCATCTTTATTTTAGACATTCTGCTGCAGCAGACATGTGGTGCAGACGGGTAGACTCATTCATTTTCTGTGTTTTTGACAATCTCTTAATATAGCTACATGTTTTTTTTGTTTTGTTTTTTACACCCACATTCCTCCAGTTGCCAGTTGACATGACCCTCTGAGACACTTGTTGTGTGTTTGTTGTGTGTTATTCCTTGTACACTGAAATACATGCTTGCCACCTGACTTGGTGTTTTTAGTCTTTTCACTTCCTTTTGAGGTTGGGGCTCTGTATTTTTATTACTTGGAGCAGCCGTACCACTTCAATGACAAACACTTTGTTTAACAAAACCGATAAGGGCGAAACTACTAATGAATATTCTTTCTTTTTTTTATTGTTTCAATCTGTCAAATAGAAGATTTTTCTTCTCTGCTTTGTCTTTACACTTGTGTTTGTGAGACACAACAGGTGCTACAACAAATAGTTAGCTGCTGTCCCAAAACTCTGAAGGCAATCAGTGCTGATGAAGGCAGAGTCACCAAGCAGCAGTTATAAGTGGAGGTGTCCACAGTGCCTGAGGCGAAGAATACTTGTAATTTTGTGTCCTCTTCCACTAATTGAAACAAAATGAAAGCGGCAGACTGGGAGGAACCCAGCATGCATGGCAAACATAAAACACTCTGGAAGTTTCCCAGAAGCAGAAAAGAACACGACCTTAAAAAGGGGCGATAGATTCATTGAAACTGAAGGTAAACTCTCTGAACGGTGACTAAGAGAAAACCTTCAACTTTTCTTATCTTCTTTAATGTATCTCTATTTGTAAACGATGGCTAGTGGGTGGAACAGGAAATCTTGGGTCAGATATCCACTGGTTGTTTCGGAAGCCTCGAAAAATGACCCCCCCC